TGGGGGTGACGGCGTGGGGGGGAGGGGGGAGTCCTTCAAGCAGCGCTATTCTGCTCTGAAGGCCAGGATCGGAAGGGCCTCGGAGAAGGACTCAACAAGTATATACTCCCCCATAATCTAGAGCTAGTGTTTTTGTTTTAAAACATAACTTCAGGTGCGTGTCTGAGAAACAGACGGAAGATAATTTAATTAATGTAAAGTGCTTACTGTTACGAGTAAGCGCCATTCCCCACCCCCCCCACCCCGCATCCTACAGACCAGCAGATCCACTGAAGCTTCAGAGGATCAAATTCTTAATGAAACCGGTAAAAGCTTCAACTGGCTGCTCTTTCCATATTTGCATTTCTGATCTAATACAAAAGTACATCAAAGTATTTCTTTGCGGATCTCACGCACTCACAGATTTAAAAGTTCCAGAAGTGTTGAAGCCATGTAGAAAAAAACAAAACCCCCAGAAGTTTGAGGGGAAACGGACATCTATAAAATACTTTTCCTATCAAACCTCAACGTCTTTTACTGATTGTGTGGAACAACATACGATTAATCATTTATAATTTAGTTAGCATATAACATTGCACCACTTGGAATTTTTATGGAATCCACGAGTATAACGATCTTCATTTTCTGTAAGAAAAACTGCAAATATACCAGATACCCGAGAAGGAATCGCAAACGGCTGCACCCCCACCGTGCCCGTCGCCCTCCCCTCACCTGTCCATCCGGGTAGGCAACGGCACTGCCCCGTCCCAGGATCACAGCCGTCCGCATTCTGGCAGGCGCATTTCTGGCTGCAGCCCAAGCCATGGGACCCGTCCTGAGGGGAAGAGAGAGAGACAGTCCCTGGATCAGCAGCCAGGCCTGGGCCTCCCGGACCTCCTTCACGGAAGAGGAGGCGCGGCGGACCCCTCCCCTTCCAGCCCCCGGCAGTGGCCCAGGCTGGGGTGTGTGTGTCGCTCAGCAGGATTCTACGGGGAGGGGGGTGTGGGCCTTTGACCCATTATGCCCGGCCAAACGGGGACTTCACCCCTGGCGCCCTCTTGACCTACAGAGGAGCACTCAACGGTGACCCAAGGGGTGTCTGACTTCACTGGTAAGCCGCTGCCCCCCTCTGGGAAGCTCACACAGAACACATGCTCAAAGCCCCCCCCCGTTACTGGGCGGGGGCATGGTTGTCTATATGACCTGAGGAGTGGGCATGACACATTTTTTTTGGGGGGGAAAGCCCCCAAAGAAGCACCTCAGGAGTTCTTAAAGAAGCACAGACTCAGTTGGGTATCGAGCAGCCTGGGAGTGGACCGAGGAGTCTGGTGCTTTTGAATCTTTCTTTTCTAGCAGCAGCTTACCGGGCAGGGTTCCTCACACCGGCTGCCGTGCCAGCCTGGGCCACACGAACACACCCCACTGACAGGGCTGCAGGCAGCGGCGTTGGCACACTGGCAGCTCCCGTTGCACCCAGCACCCCAGGTGCCCGCGGGGCAGGGGGCGGAACAGTCCACTCCGTGCCAGCCTGGAGGAGGAGGAGGAGGAAGGGGTCAGCAGGGAGGCAGGTGCAGCCAAGGAACCTGCTGTGTGTGCCAGGAGGCCATCGTGCACCACCCTGACCACACACACCCCTCCACGCCCCCGTTCCGTACCTTCTTTGCAGGCGCAGGCCCCGTCCACGGGGGAGCAGGCGAAGGCATTCCGGCAGGCACAACGCAGGGAGCAGTTCGCCCCGTAGGTGTCGGAGGGGCAGGGGCGGGAGCAGTGCTCGTCCTGTTTGGGGCACAGCCGGGCATGAGGGGAGGAACGACGCAGGATGGAGTCGTGTGAGAGAGGAAGGGCAGACGGACCCAGCCCGCCGAGAAGCCTTCCTGGGCGCTTTCTACCAGCTCTGCCTTGTCAGGACGCCACCAGGGCTTGCGCGAGGGAAGAGAACAGTAGTGGCACCCCCAGCCAATCCTGCTCACGGACAGGAGCCCCTCAGGCATCCCAGGGAACAAAGGGAAGCAGCGGGGAGGGGGGAGCAGCCAGAGGAAGGAGGGTCTCTGGCCACAGGGCTGGCACTCCTCACTCAGTGACCGTGGGGCCCCAGACAACCCCCCGCCCACCCAGTGGGGCCACTGACTTACCGTGTAGCCCGCTGCACAGAGGCAGAGCCCGGTCTCACTGTCACAAGTCCCCCCATTCAGACACAGGCAGGGCTCCCGGCAGCCGGCCCCGTGGTATCCGTGGGGGCAGGTCTCGTTGCAGGAAAGCCCGGCCCGGCCCGGTTTGCAGGTACATTCCCCGGTCAGTGGGTGGCAGCTGGGGAGGGAAGCAGCGAGGAGCACCGGTCACTCGGAAGTGCCAAAGTCAGCCGGGGGCCCCTCTGCCTTCTGCGGGCGGCGGCTCTCTTCTCCGCTCCACCTGCGGCTGCTTGGGAGCCTCGGAAGCAGAAGGGGCCCCGCCCACCCTCTCGCTGCTTCGCGCACCCGATGAAGGGGGGGGACTCCCGCCCGCAACACTGCTTTGCTCACCGGGACGCAGCCGTTCCTGGCCCCGCCTGCCCGAGGTCTTTAGAAACGCCTGCGGACTGCTTTTCTCAACCTGTGGCCCCAAGGCCACCGGTGAGGACGTGCCGCAACATGGACATGACAAAGGAGGCCTTTCAGTCAGGCATGAGGAGGAGCGTGTCCGTCACACACACCCCCTTCTGCCCTCACCCCACCGGTTACCGAGGAGTTGCCAGGCTCAGTCCAAGGCTCTGGTTATACCCTCCCGGGTCCTTCCTGGCCTCGGACCCACATCCCTGCAGGACCTCCTCCTCCTCCTCCTCCTCCTCCTGCTGCCGCGAAAGGGATACACCCACCTCTGTGTGTGCCGAGGGTCACAGGGGCACGGCCGAAGGCAGGTCAGGCCATACAAGCCGGCCGGGCACTTGCGCTCCTCACAGCGGCTGCCGTAGTAACCGGCCTCACAGAGGCAGCCCCCGTTGATGTGGAAGCAGTGGCCGCCGTTGGCGCAGTCGCAGGTCTGGCTGCAGTCCTGCCCATACTTGCCAATGGGGCATTCCTCCCGGCACCTTGGTGGGCAGAGGGTAAAAACAGATTTGACTACATAAACAATATTTGGGTTTTTAACGTTTCAGTTATAGCAGTTGCCTTCATTTAAAAAAAACAACCACTGGTATAAAACGAAATGTGAATTTAATGCTGTGGAGAAACCCCCCCCCCCCCCCGCCACCCAAGAGGTCTCCCCAATGTTTCAAATAGTGTGGCCACTCTCTTTCTTTGTTCAGGAGCTCAGCTGTATGGTAGGGAAATGCTCATCTTTTTATTCACTTATTAAACTTTTGAATAGGTGCAAAAGAACGGCCCAAAGTCATACGACACATATAATGGGAACATGGAATCTAAGAAGTATGACTCCAGATAAGCTTGAAATCATAAAACAAGAAATGGAACGTTTGAGCATTGCAATCCTGGGAGTGGGTGTACTAAAGTGGACTGTATTAGGACATCTTCAGTCAGAAAATTACGAAGTGTTTTACTTTAAAAATGAGAGAGACAGAAGGGGCGGAGCTGCTGTAACAGTTCAGGCCGTCAGGGGCTACAACGCAAAAGGTCTAACCGAGCAATGTCAATCACACTTCACGGAAAGCCGCTCAACATCGACATCATTCAAGTTTACAGATGTTGTAAGAGAAAGAAACGGAAAGCTTTTGTGCAAGTGTCCACAAAGAAATTCGTCATACATCCGAACAAGATGTGCTGACAATCATGTGTGACGGGACCACCACAGAAGGGGGAAAGGAAGCAGAATCAAGCATTGCCAGAGAATCTGGACTGGGGCCAAAGACTCCGCCCTCCTTTTCTGACTTCGGCCGGGGGGGGGGGAGGGCTTCCCCTCCCCTCCCCTCCCCTCCGCAGATCAGCTAGAGCCCATTCCCTTTTGAATGATAGCAAAGTGACAGCAAGATCCGTTCATCCGTGTTTCCTTAGTATGGCCGCCAAATCCAATGGAATGACCAACTGGCCGCCGCCTCGTGAGGAATGCTCTGGGCTGTAGGCCTTGCGGGAAAAGACTGTGGAGAATCTATCATCAGTGGCAGACGTCAGCCTACCGATGGGGATGAGGAGGGAATGCGGGGGGGGGCAGGGTGGGTCAGGGCTCTGGTGTTCCATTCGCGTAACGGGGTGGATCCAACCCTCCACCACCCTCCAAGGAGGAGTCTTCCCCCCACTTAAGTGGCTCTTCCATTGGAGGAGGTCTTCCTTCTGAGGGCGGAGGGACAGCTCAGACTCCGTTCCCTGGAGTCCCTGGAGGACAGCTTCCCAATGGATGGTGGGGCCCACTCCTCCTCCGGAAGCTGACCCACATCGTTTCCCACGGCTTTGACTCACCGCTCTCCAATGTAGCCGGCTGTGCACTGGCACTGCCCACTGACCAGGTCACACTGGCCTCCGTTGTGGCAGAGGCACTCCCCCTGGCAGCTGGAGCCAAAGCGCCTCTCAGGGCAGGGGACGGAACAGATGGCGCCCTGCCGGGAGAAGGAATCCGGCCCAGAGACAGTCAGAACCCTGCGAGCCCCGGTCCCAACCACTCCTCCCCTCCACGTCAAATGGGACCGAGGGTACGAGGAGGGGGCCGTTTGCAGAGGGAGGCGGGCGCTGCGTTCAGGACTCTGCCTGCAGGCTCCAGGAGCCATGAGCCTCCCCGTGCGCCATGGAAGGCACAGGCGGCTGCTGGCCTGGGGACGGGGGGGTTTCGGGGGGCGGGGGGGGGGGGAGGCCGTGGCAGGCCCTGCCGCACGAGTGTCGGGCGCCTGTGCTTGGAGGGGGGGGGGACAGAGGGAGAGAAGCACTTGGGCCCCTGCAGCCCCGCCTCCTCCTCCCACCAGACTCACCATCCACCCGGGAGGGCAGGCACAGTTGCTGCTGTTGGAGGGGTGGCAGATGCCCCCGTTCTGGCAAACGCAGTCGGCGTGGCACCAGACTCCACTGCTGCCGTTGAGGCAAGGGACCTCACAACTGGAAGAGATGTGGTTCATGGGGCCTCAGTGGCTGAGCACCGGGAGGCAAGGTCAGGTTCACGCCCAGCCACCTGGTGCCATCGCCCGGGGGTTGGCCCCTTCCCCCAAGCATCACCCCGCACCCACCCAAACCAGCAGAGCGTGCGGCAGCAGCGGGGCCTCCAGGGGCCCAAGCCGCCTCTGGGCGAAGGGAGCCGAGCGCCACGTGGCATCCGGGGACTGATTAGCCAGCCAGCCGGTCCAGGCTAACAGGCCCCAAAGATCCACACACCCCCTCCCCAGGGCCCACGATTCCCCCTGGCCCCACCGACAGCACCCGGATCAGACCGCTCCTTCTCAACTCGGCCCGTACGTACCACGGTGCAGACAGGAAGCACAGAGAGGCCTGCCTGGGTCCAAGGTCCTCTAGTAGAGGCCCGGGCAGGTTTCCCTTGGCTCCATGAGCCACCCCAGGAATTTAGGAGGCAGACTTGCTTGATCGTACTTTCTAATTGTTGCTACCACAAAACCTAACCCTAAACACTTTGTAATGTCTTGCCATTTCTTCTCGAGCTATGACAAAAGTGTTGGACGTGTATAAAGAAATATGGGATCGTAAACCTGGACGTCATCAGAATGGGAAGCTCCCCTCTGTCCCCCACCCAGGTCAGCTTTGCACTTCTGCCGAGAGGAACCAGGAGGAAGGGGGGCCCTGCGCACGAGCGGGTGGCGGGCACGTCTCACAAGGGTGCCACAACGGACATCTCCAGGCTCCCCCGGAGGGCCGGACTTGTCAAGCTCTGCTCCAACAAGTGACGCTCAGCCTTTCCAGTCCGTTTGTTACTTTGTGAAAATACTATAAAAGTGGTGAGTCAGTAGCATTTGTCCCCTCTAGCTTGCGTTTATAAAACATTCTACAGGAAACTGTTGGTTCTGTGGCTAAGAGAATCCAGACCTTTTCATCTACCGTGGCAGAGCTCCTATCCCTCAAGGTTTTGGGAAACAATCACTAATGCCAATATCTGAGAGTTTAGGTAGACCCTAAACATTCCCTACATACCAGAAGTACTTCTTCTTCATCATGCCCTGCAGTTCCAAATGGCTTCTTGGTCCCTGTATTGAACAGTATCCCTGTGGCTTCTTTGATCTTTGCCAGCAATCTTTCTCCCCAGAGAGGGAATAGATTGAGAAAGCAACTGAACTGCACGAATTAACCAGGCTTATGGTTTTACAGAAATTTAACGGTACACATCACATTTGGATGTTACAAACCTATGATTCCACAGACAGAATGTGGTATGAAAATCTGTTCAGGTGGGTAGTTGTGTTAGTCTGAAGCAACAGAACAAGGTTTGAGTCCAGTGGCACCTTTAAAACCAACAAAATTTTATTCTGGGTATAAGTGTTCCTGTGCATGCACACAAAAGCTTATACGCAGAATATAACTGTCTTGGTCTTAAAGGTGCCACTGGACTCAGACTTTGTTCTGTATGAAAATCTGGTTCGTCTGTATGTCTCTGTGTTTATTTATGAAATGGATAACAAGCAGGTACCTTCAACTGACTTGTTCTTACTATTTGCGTCCTCCAAATCAGCCTGTTCCTCCCAGCCTAGATCAGAACTGGCAACATAGCCTAAGAAGGAAAAGGACTTTTGCGCCCCGACTGAACCAAGTCTCATGGTGCCGCTGGCCAGGACTGAAAGGAGACCCCCTGGAAACCCCACAGATCCCTCCCTGAGAGCCCAGGAGGACGGCCAGGTGGGTGCCTGTGGGACGCTTCCCCCCCTGAGAAACCAGTCGTCCCCCTCCCCCCAATGCCCCCTCCCCAACGGTTTTGCTCACCCCTGCTCCCCTACTCACTGGGGTCCAGTGAATCCCGGGGGGCACAGGCAAGCTCCAGTCACCCTGTCGCAGGAAGCGGCATTCTCACAGTGGCAACCCAGCAAGCATTCTTGGCCGTACATTCCTGGGGCACACGGCTCTTGGCACAGGGGCCCCCTGTAGCCTGGTGGGCAAGTGCAGGCCCCCGTCAGAGGGTCACAAGTGCCTCCGTTCACACAGGTGCAAGAGCTCTTGCAATCCGGCCCCCAGAACAGCTTGCTGCAGTCTGGATGCGAGAGAGAGAGCGAGAGAGAGAGAGAGCGTGAAGGCATGGAGGTCCGGAGGAGAGCAGGGGCCCCTTGCAGTGTAGCAGGATGGGCCACCCCCACAGAGGCGTGAACGTCTGAGCTGCTGCATGCCGTGGGTCGTGATATGGGGCAAGCCAAGGACAGCAGACCCCTTGCCTCCTCGGGGCAATCCCCCAGCAGCTGCCCCCCCCCGCTCCAGTCCCTCAGGGGCTCAGAGGGGTTATGGCTGCGGCTGTTGTGACGACACTGAAGAGTCAGCTCAGGGCTTGGTGGCTGCCCAGTCTGAAGCAGCCGGCCACGGCCACGTACTGCACCCTAGCCCCTCCCCCCACAGGCACACGGCGTGGACAGGATGGGGTGGAAGGGCCTTTTTGAAGGGGGCATCCATATTTGCTGGGGTGGTATGACCCCCTCGCCCAGGTATCGACATTAGAATGTCCCACTTTGTAAATGTTGAGTTTTACTCTTTGTACGTGCTCACAGGTTAAGCTCACCCTGGAGCTATGGGTAGCCTGCCTGGAAGAGAGGTAGTCCCCTCCCCCCCTCCGTATCCCAAGAGGCAGAGAGTGAGTGGGGGGGGGCTGCTGTTAAGCTCTAGTCCCCCAGGGGGCTCTCAGGTAACGGAGATCCAGAGGGAGGGAGGGAGGGAGGGAGGGAGGGAGAGAGAGAGAGAGAGAGAGAGAGGCTGCCTGCCTGCCTGCCTTAGACAGACATCCCACAGCAGCGTCCTCTTCTTCTTTTTAGGAAGGACGCCAGTGAGGGGGGGAACTGCCCCCCCTGACCGCCACCCGTCCCCCTTTGCCCTTTCCCAGCCGCCGTGGGGACGAGGAGGATGGCTGAAGTTTTCCCAGGCGCCGGCCCTGGGGGGGGGAGGGGACACCGAGAAGTCTTTCAAGGGACGTCTCCTTGGCCACGATCAGCCGTCCCCCCCCCCTCCTTGGGACTGCTCTTTCCCACCCCAAGTTCCCATCAGCCCCCCACCCCCACCCCCTTCAGCTCTTTACACACACAAACTGCCCATTCTGCTCCTGCTGCTGCTGCCAAAGACTGGGAGAATGTGCACACCCCCCCTTCCACTGGCCGGGAGGGCCGAGGCGCCCCTCTCCCCTCCGCTCCCGGCCACTGCCATCTTTAGGAGGTAGTGCCACTGCCCCCCATACAGGGGGTGGTGTCCCGGCCGGCCCACTGGGAGCTCCTACAGGAGGAGGAGGAGGAGGAGGAGGAGCGAGTCCAGCCAAGAGCGCTTCCCAGAAGGCAGGCAGGCTCCTCCTCCGAGATCCCAGGACAACGGTTCCCACGAAATCCGTGAGCCTGGAAGGGTTGCTCCCTCCCTTGCCTCTCCTGCTTCTGCAAACTTCCTCGCAGCCCCACTTCTGCCCCCAGAAGAAGGGCTTATCCCCCCCATCCCGCTAGTGACCCCTTGACCTTGTGAACAACTGAGGAAGGACAAAGCCCGAGGCCGCTGTGGGGAGCCTGCCGAGGAGGAGGAGGAGGAGGAGGAGGAGGAGGCAGACCTCCTCCCAGCGGCCCCAGGGAAAGACGAAGGAGAGGACAGTCAGGCACCAGGCGGAGGGGGGGGGGAGAGGCAGAGGGAGAGTGTCTGTGGGGGCGGGCCAGGGGCCAGCCTGGTGGGAGAGAGCCACACTGGGCTCAGGGAGGCCCGGGTTCAAATCCCTACACAACTGCGAGGCCCATGGGTGGGGGTGGGGGGGAGATCCTGAGCGGCCCCCTCTTTCTCAGCCTCGACAACCCGGCAGAGTCACTATGAGGGACCCCGACCCTCAGCTCCGGGAAGGGAGGGTGGGAGAGGACAGAAAGGACCGAGGACGGGGCAAGGGGTGCTTCCAGTTGAGCCCCCTCCTCGCCCCTGGAGCGGGAGGCGTTTTTTGCAGCGTCCGGGGGGGGGGGCAACCACCAGGAACAAAAACAGCAGCATCCAAGCAGGGGGCTTCTTCTTCCACACCACCCTTTTGGAGGGGGGGGGTGTCAGTTGAGGGAAGGAATCTCCCCCCCTCCCCCCCCAAGCATACAGCACCGAGCAGCCCCCTGATGGCAGAAGGAGGAGGCGGAAAGGCCAGGCGGCCCCTGGGGGGGGGGGATGCTGAGCCGCGCAAGAGGCCGCTCAGGCCTGGCACCTGTTCCGGGGGGGGGGGGCTCACAAACCGGCTTCGTTGCTTTTTAAACAAAGGTCCAGATTTCCACCATGCTCTACGTCACCAAAGCAGATGTTGCCCACGTGCACACAGACGCACACAGAGGCCCTGTCCCTTCAGCCCCACCTGGAGGCCTCTCTCTCTCTCTCCCTCCCTCTCTCTCTCCCTCCCCCTTGCAGTGCACCTAAGGCCGGATCTTCTCTGGGCAGTCCTGCCTGTGGCGGAGGGACGATGGTTTGGCCCCTGCCAGGCCCTGGGACTGGATGACTACCTGTCGTCTGGGAGGCAGGGTGGCCAGGGCGATGCCAGGCCGCAGTAACAGCGGAGCTGCTCTCCTGCCCATTCTCTCTCTCTCTCCGAAGGTGATGAGAGCCAGTGGTGGTGGGGTGGACTCTAATCGGGAGAGCCGGGGGGGGGTTGATTCCCTCCTCCTGCTGCTGCTCCTCCCCCTCCCCCTCCCCGTGCAGCCAGCTGGGTGGCCTTGGGCCAGTCCCGGTTCTCTCTCTCTCTCTCGGAGCTCTCTCAGCCCCACCGACCAGTCACAGGGCGTCCGTCCGTCGTCTCTGGTGGGGGAGGCGAGGGGGAGGCAGGTTGGGACTCCTCCGGGCAGGCAGGCCGGGTATGAAGCCAGCCCTCTCCGACTCTCCTTCGTGCGCTTGAGGCGGCGGGGCAAAGGCCACACCCAGGGGGAGGCTCCTGCTGTCCTGCGGCACTCCACCCAGAAGGGAGCCGGGGACGGGGCCCACCGGCGGGAGGAGCTCTTTGGGAGGCGGCGGCGCCGCAGCCCCCAAGAAGGCGCCTCAGAGCAGGGGGAGGCCTGAGGGGGAAGGAGGAGGAGACTCACCGCTGGAGCAGTCGGCCCCCCGCCACCCCTGCTCGCACTGGCACTGGTCCGGAGCCACACACCTGCCGTGCACACACTCCTGGGTGCAGCGCGCTGGAGGAGGAGGAGGCGAGAGAGGGAGGGAGAGAGAAGGGGTGTCACCCGACTGCTGAGGAGCCCAGGAAGGCAGTCAGGGCGGTCCTCTCCCGGGGCGAGGAGGGAGGGAGGGAGGGAGGGAGCTGATGATCTGCAAAGGGCACCTCGCGGGGAGGGGCGTGGCGGGACAGCGGGGCTGCGGAGCGACTGACCCCCGCCCCGGGAAAAGGGAAGGGGGCGGGGAGGCCCACAGGCCCTGGACTGCATCAGGGGGACCAGAGGACTTCCAGAGCCGCCCTCCCGCCCGCCCAGCTTCTTCCGACGGATGGCTCGGGCCGGCCCCTCCTCCCCAGAGGGGGCTGCGGTCGGTCGGCCTTTCTCCCGGAGCCGGGAGCCCGAGCGCCGCTCGCTCGACACACACACGCGTCGCGCACAGAGGGGGGTGGGAGCCGGCCAGCCCCGCGGAGGCCCCGGAGGCCACGAGGAGGAGGGTGGAGGGTGGTGGAGGGAGAGACTTACGGACGCAGAGGTCGGCCCGCTCGTAGTAGCCCCGGCAGCAGCGGTGCCTCCTCCGGTAGTCGACCTTCACGCCTTGGCGATAGGCTGCCTTGTACAGGACCCTGGGGAGGGGGAGAAGCGCCAGAGCCGCCCGTCAGGGCAGGAGGAGGAGGGGGGTCTCTCTGGGTGGGTGTGTGTGTGTGTGTGTGTGTGGAGGGGGGAGGGCTGGCGAAGAGCCAGGAAGAGCCCCCCCCCCAGGCCGCCTACGCCGAGGCCTCACCCCCCACCCCCCAGCCTGGAAGGGGGGGAGGAGGGGGTGCAGCGGCCGCCTGACCGACAGCCGGGCCACCGACAGGACCGAAGAACCCTGGCCAAGGAGGGGCCGGAGCGCTCAGAGTAAATACAGCGACAAGAGCCACAGGGGGAAGTTGGCCTCCCCACTGGACACCCGCCCGACCCCATCTGAGGAGGAAGGAGAGCCTGCCCAAGGCGGCCTGCCGGGCACATTGGCCACTGCCGGACCTCAGCCACGAGAAGAGTCCCCCTGGATGGCCATTGAGCCACGGCAGACAGACACGGCGGCCTGGACAGCCACGGTGACCGGGCAGAGGCCCACCCATCCACCCATCCATCCGTGTTTCCCGTCAGAACCGGCTGCTGCAGGAACGGTGGGAGAGAAGCCAGAGGCGGCCACGGGAAGGCACTGAACCCAGTAACTGACCGGTCGCCAGTGGAGTGGCGGGAGAATGGGGGTGGTGGGCATGGCTGTTCTGCAGCTGTGGATCATGACACCAAGCAGCAGAGTCCTGTGCCAACTGGCGCCTGCAGGTTGACTTGAAGGGCTCAGCATATGACCGTGGGCTAGCCACAAGGCAAGCACAGCATGGATCCGCACATGGCCAGCGTGAGCCACCACGTCAAGGCAGCGGGCCGGCCGCCTCCCACCTCAGAGGAGCTGGAAGAATGCGCGCTTTTGGAAGCTTCTCTGGCAGCCGTGCTGGATCCAGAGCGAGCCCCTTTCTCCTGACTGACACTGAAGTGGGGAGGGGGACCAATGTCCTCCAAGGCCCTCACCCTTCCCACCACCTGGCGTTGCCTCCGTCTGGCTCACCCGTGGGGCCACCTAAGGACCGCGCGAAGGCCAGTCCCTTTGTAGCTCACTGATTTGACCCTGACATGATCTCAGCAGTCAGGGCGGACAAGGATCCACTGGGCAAAGGGCGGGGCCTTCACAGTTGCCAGGATCCTCTTCGCACCCGTTGTGTAACCGGGTCAAGATGACCCGCAACCAGACCCAACGGCATTCTGGGTGCTTCAAGTGTCTCCACTTCGTTACCACCAGCACCCAAATCAGAATGGACGTGAGACCTTTCCTGAGCAAAATAGTTTCCCAAAGCGTCACAACTAATCATCAGTTCCAGGGAATGTAAAGGCTCGGACCGAGCAAAATGCATGAAACCACTGAGCTGGATGTGGACTAGCGGATACAATGGGAGCAGCAGAAACACAAGACTTCTTTGCGGCCATCACGGCCACCTCAGACGTCTTCTGCTGAGCCCTACGGCACCTTCTGTCAGCTTCAATCTCAGTTTCCTGCTGCAACCCTGTTTTTTAGACACCCCCCAGCCTCCTTCCTGGACACTCCGAAGGCACATTTCTGACATCCCTGCAGCAGCGTCTTCTCTCTCCCGCCTAAGATGCGTCTGAGGGCAAGAGGCCCCTTGTGCAGAGGTGCTGACACCAGACGGTTTAATCTGTCTGTTTAGGTGCCCCCACCCACCCCTTATTTCCTTAGACTCAAGGTAGCTTCCTGGTGCTAGAGGTTAGATCCAGGTGGGTCACCCCAGGTTGGTCTGAAGCACCAGGACAAAGTTTGCGTCCGGGGGGGGCACCTTGAAGACCAGCACAGTTCTGTTCTGTGCACAAAAGTTTGTACCCAGAAGAGGACTCTCTGTGAGTCTTCCAGGCGCCCCCACTGGACTCCGGCTCTGTCTGGTGCTAGAAGTGTTTCTTCCGCTGCAGACAAGACTCGGCTGTTCGACAGCTTGGGCCCAATTTGCCATCTTCTCTGATCTGAAGGAACCTCCTCTTACCTGTGCTGAATGCAGGTCTTGGCAAAGGGCCACATCCTGTTGCAGGGTTCCTCGAAGACCTGGGCAAATGGCTGCACATACGACTCCTTGGAGGGTGTGGTAAAACTGGCAGAGATCAAACACTTTTACATTGATCTTATCTGCAATAATCGTTCTGTCTAATTCTTGACACGGCCAAAGCTGTGGACCCTTGGGTCAGGGCCACATAGTGGGACGGGAGATTTTTGGCAAAAGTAGGGGAGCCCTCAGTTTGTAGAAATATCCAGAACCTTTCAAAATCAGGGGTGGTGAAAGAAGCCATCGAACGAGGAAGGTGATGTCTGCCCAGGTGCAGACGTCACCTTCCTCGTTCGATGGCTTCTTTCACCACTCAGGTAGGAGGAATCCGGTGGCAGCAGCCCGCTTGGCTTCAGCTCTTTTTTTTTTGCCCACAAGCAGAGGCAGCCAGAACAGCGGGGGGGGGGGAGCACACCCACGGTGAGGCTGCCTCTGCTGATGCAGCCCTCTAAAGGGCCACACTTGGGCACCAGCCTGGTGGCAGCTGGAGGTGGAGCCAGAAGAGGAGTCACCAGAAGACCGCCCAGAGTCTCAGCCCAGGACGTCTCCTCCACCTTCAGTCTGCTTTGGTGGAAGTGAATGCTGCCCTCTGGACAAGTCAGAGAGATTCTTTGCTGGGCTATTTACGGTTTGGCCTGAGATGTACTCCATTCCACCAGCCTCCGCTAATTGTCTGAGGACAGTATTTTGCCTACTGTGACCCTCCTCGGCCGACCTCTGCTGCTCCGGATACCCCAGCGTCCACACTCTCCCCGCCCCCTTACCTTTCCCAGTGGCTGCAGACATTGGGGTCGTTGGGACTTAGCAGCGCCCCCCAGTCCAGCTGCATCCACAGCCAGAGAACGGTGCACCTCTTCATCCTAACGAGGCGAGAAAGGGTGAGTTGAGCATGAGCTAGACCAGAGGTTCCCAAACATATTTGGCCTACTGCCCCCTTTTCAGGAAAAAAAATTACTCACCCCCCCCCCGCTGGAAATCTACCTTCAAAAAGTGGACAAAAAGATACAGTGACAAATTCGCACCCAAGACTCCTACCGCCCACCTTGATCGTTCCAGTGCCCCTCCGGGGGCAGGTGTCACCCACTTTGGGAACCAGTGAGCTAGACGATGCAAAGAAAGAGGGGACTCTGAACTTATTCCAGTCCGGTGGAGCAGAAATCACAGAAAACTGTCAATGGCAACGACACAGTCAGTGCAGTAAAGAGCTGCCTGAGCAATAACACTCTCAGGTTTGACAGACCCTCCTGAAGAGAGGGTTACCAGGGGAGAAGAGGTTACGCTGACATTGAACTGCAGGGAAGGGGGGGGGGTCATACGTCTGATAAACCTTGCAATATACGGCAATACTGTTCCTTACTGAAACCATCTCCTGGACCTGGAGTGAACTGTTATGCCATGGTTCTGTTCCCTTTATAAGAAAGAAAGCCCTTCTGAACATTTCTGCTTTGCACATTTTGTGAAGCCACAGAAGCCTGAGGGCCTTCCGGATAGTCTCAGGCAGGCCGTTCCGTAACGCGGGAGCCGCGATAGATGGTGCTCAGGAACACCCCTCTGCCAATTTTACCTGTTTGTAGGATGGCACCTGCAGAAGACTTGCCTCAGGTGAGCGCAGCTGCTGTGCCGCTGAGGGTGGCTGGCGGCTCATAGAACCCAGTAACTGTGGAATCGGAGTCCTGTGCAGCAGGAAAGTCCTCGGCCTGCACTGCTCTGAGCCCACGGGAGTGGCCAGGTGGTCTTTAAGGGCAGAGCCATGTAGGATGTGTTATCACAGTCCAGCCTCAGGGCAACTGTAGCACAGGAACAGGGTCCACAGTGGAAGAGAAGGCCGTGGGCCATCTTCCAAGCTAACTGGCTGACCGAATATTGTTGTTTTTTTTGGCGGCAGCATCAATAAAGCTGGATCCAGTTAACTGAATGGGCAAGTGTCAGCTGGACCTCATCTAAACTGGGAAGTGCTGTGTGCAGCAGGGGATCTCGGCCTTCACCCTCCCTCCCTCCCTCCCTCCCTCCTTAAACTGGGAAGTGCTGTGTGCAGCAGGGGATCTCGGCCTTCACCCTCCCTCCCTCCCTCCCCTCCCTCCCTCCCTCCCTCCCTCGTGCCGGGATTCAGCTTCCAGCTTGTCAGCCCTCAGCCCTTTAGCTCCAGCAGCCAGGCACACGCCCACCGCCAGCGCCGTCTCTGGCCCGCAGCCTGGCCTGAGCCCGACCGAAAGGGGGTCGAGGGTAGACGATGTAGCCACTCTCCTCTGGCCCAGGAAGGGCATATGAGAGACCAGAGGTTGTAACTGGCCTCACACATCCTTCTTCCCTGACTGCAGTGTGCTCTCTGGGGTACATATGGGGAAAGGCGGTCCCTCAGGCATGTCGGCCCCTGACCATAAAGGGCTTTAAAGGTAAGATCCAGCACCTTGAAGTGAACAGGCTGGATGTGCTCCCCCACGGGGAGAACCAAGAAGAAGGTGATTGTGATCATGATATTGGACTCATACCCCATGGCCCTTCACTACCCAAGGGAGTCTCAGAGCGGCTGACAAACTCCTTTCCCTTCCCCCCAACAACAGCCTGGCCGCAGCATTCTGCACCAGCTGCAGCTTCCAGATCTGAGACAAGGGCAGCCCCATGTAGACAGCATTACAGTAGTCCAGTCTCAAGGTGACCATCGCATGGATCACTGTTGCCAAGTCGTCGTGTTTGAGGAAGGGAAGCAAGTGCTTGATCAGTAGAAGATGGTCAAAGGCTGACTTGGCAGTGGCTGCTACCCAGGCCTCCATTGTTAACGAGGCATCCAAGAGCACGCCCAACCTCCTGACCTCTGGCGCTGGCACCAGCGGAGCCCCATCGAAGGTCGGGAGTGGCCTCCCTGCCCTCGGACCGCCCCGGCTCAGGCACGGGGCCTCCATCTTTGTTGGATTCAATTTCAGTCATCTTAGTCTAAGCCATCCAGCCGTGGCTTGTAATGCCCGGTCCAGATCTTCCCGTTTAGAGTCACCCAACAACAGGTAGGGCTGGGTGCCATCTGCATATGGGTGACATCCCAGCCCATGCCTCTGGGCAATCTGGGCAAGAGGGCACCTGTGGGTGTTAAACAGCATCAGGGACAGCGCCGCCCCTCGGGGCACTCCACAATCTTCGGTGTAGCCGTCCCCCCAGTGCCACCCTTGGTCCCCGGCCTTGGAGGAAGGAGGCCAGGCATGGCAAGGCAAGACCCCCCCCCCCCCCCCCCCCCGACCACCGCGCGCCCCCCCCCCCCCCGGACTCCGGTGCCAGTGAGCACCCAGCATTCATTCTCAGCTGAAACAACAACAAACCTTCCTAGAAGAGTCAGAACTAATTGTTGATTCCTGGGAATTCAAAGGCTCAGACTTTGGAGTCAACTCAAGATACTAAAAATAGCTGAGCTGGGCGTGAACTGGACCCTGCAATGGGAGCAGCCGCCCAGCAGAGCTCCTTTGCCTCCACCACTACCCCCTCCCTCGTAGGTGTTCCAGTGAGCTCCACAGCACCTTCCGTGAGGTTCGCTTGTGGCAGTCGTCCCTCCCTCCCTCCCTCCCTCCCTCCCTCGAAAGGCCTGCCTTTCCGCCAGGGCTCCGGACCAACCCTTGTGATTTTGGCCTCACTCCATTGGGTGGAAGGGGGTAGATTCGGGAGGGTCGCCGTGTTGGCCTGAAGCGGAAGAACAAAGTCTGCGTCCAGTCTTGGCACCTTTCAGACCAACCAAGGTTATTCCAGGGCATAAGCATTCGTGGGCAAGTATACAAAACTTATACCTGGAATTAAACTTGGTTGGTCTTAAAGGTGCCCCGGGTTCAAACTTTGTTCTAGATGGGAGGGGTTGAGCCAGGGCTTTTTTTGTAGAAAAAGCCCAGCAGGAACTCATTAGCATAATAGGCCACACCCCTGACAGCACAGCTCATTCGCATATTAGGCCACACCCCCATGTTACCAGAAGTGTGGTCATCCAGCCACACCCACCTTTTGCTTCTTATTCTCTTTACCTTGTTTGTTGTCAAAACCCAGGGCCTTTTGCATGTTAGGCCACACACCCCTAATTGTAGCCAATCCGAATGAGTTTCTGCTGTTGGGTGTGGCCTATTATGCTAATGAGTTCCTGCTGGGCATGGCCAACTTGGGAGCCAGCCAGAACTCTGTTCCTGTGCGTTCCTGCCCAAAAATAGCCCTGGGTTGAGCCATTCCCCCCCCTGCCCGGCAGACCAGGGAATTTGTGGCTCTGGATAAGAGCGTCAGCTTAGCCAGGTTTTTATTTTGCATTTCGTTAGGGTTTGTGGGTCGACTTAGGGAAGAAAGCTTTTTTTTGGTGAGACAGATCAGCATCCGGCAAAGAGCGTCCTGCCATTCCAAACATACGTGCCCTGATTCCGTGGGCAGCAGGAGCCTCTCTGTGTCTTAAAAGAGCCACCCTGGACCTGGAGAGGACCCTGCCTGTGAGGGAAGCCGGTTCCCGTGAGAGCTGGTCAGCTGGGCTGATGCCTGCCTGAAGGAAGGGGAACCAGATCTCCCCCTGGGGGTGGGTTTGCACTCCCTGAGGAGGCTCAGCCACCAAGCCCTGCTCTCACTAGGGGCACTTTGTGACCTGTGGGGGTGGAGTCGAGAGCCAGTTTCACTTTATGCACCGGAGCTTTCTGCACAAAACATTTACCCCGTTAAATACTTTATTTTCTGTTAAATAACCATTAAGAGAAATCCCCCTTTTTGTGTGTAGAGATATGACTGGATGGGCAAGACACAGATGTTCTCTTAATTTAATAAATAACCACGCCATTATTCTAGCAGGGTCCCAGAGAAGAGACCTCGAGGGGCCCGCCCAGCTCACCGGCTGCCAACCCTTGGATGTAAGCTTGTGTCGCTTCCCCCCCCCCCACGCACACGCACACCCCTTAAATGACCGTGGGCAGCTGGGGTTTTAAACACGAGAGAGAGAGAGAGAAGGAGAGGTCAGACAGTGGAACTGCAGGAGATCCTGCCCTTCCGCAGGAAGTTGCCTCGGAGGCCCGTCTCCCCCTCCCTCCCCCCACTGCTGCCACAATAAAAATGGCGGCAGGGGTGGGACTCAGTCCTGACTGACAGAACAAGAAGAAGAAGAAGAAGAGGAGGAGATTGGATTCATGCCCCATGGCCTTTCAATACCCAAGGGAGTCTCAAGAGCGGCTTATAAATCCCTCTTCCCTTCCCCTCCCCACAACAGACATCCCCTGGGAGGTAGGTGGGGGCTGAGAGAGCTCTGGACAGAAACTGCTCTTTCTCAAGGACAGCTCTTATCAGGACTACGGCTTACCCAAGGTCATCCAGCAGCTGCAAGTGAAGGAGGAGTAGGGAATCAAACCTGGTTCTCCCAGATTAGAGTCCATGCACCTAACCACCACACCAAACTGGCTCTCTAGTGTACAGAGAAGAAGAAAGAGATTGGATTTATACCCTGCCCTTCACTCGGAGTCTCAGAGTGGCTTACAAGTTCCTTTCCCTTCCCCTCCCCACAACAGACACCCTGTGAGGTGGGTGGAGCTGAGAGAACTCTGACACAAACTGCTCTTTTTCAAGGACAGCTCTTATCAGAACTGTGGCTTGCCCAAGGTCACCCGGCAGCTGCAAGTGGAGGAGTGGGGAATCAAACCCAGTTCTCCCAGATTAGAGTCTGTACACTTAACCACTACACCAAACTGGCTTCTGTAGATAGTTCCTCTCAGGCTGGGGCTCTGTGTTCTTGGTGCCCGGTGGTGGGTCTGAGTCTGGTTGAGGCTCTCACTCTTCTCCTCTGGGGGGGGGGGCATGAGGGGACAGCTGCTGATACGGCTCCCTTTACTGCCCCCTCGCAGCAGCGGCTCTCGTCAGCGAGTTGCCCCAA